ATGTAAATATAATACTGCACATGTAATAATAAATGTTTTGTTGTACTGTTTTAATGTTTACCATATGAAGAGTCGTTGCTGGCTTGAGGGAGACGATGGGGAGGTGGGAAGGAGGAGAGGGGTTATGGTGTGGAAGGAGAATCCACCTCTTGAGTCAGGTGGGCTCTCTCTTCTTGGTAATTTCACCCCACTGGGACCGAGTTGTGGTTCACTATCACTGGCTCTTCTTTTCTCTACTTTTGCAAAGAACGTATCTATTGACAATTGCTTTTGTCTTTGTTTTAGGATGTCCCTAAAACAAGACAGCAAATTGTCATTAAACATGTTCACACATCGGGTTGTCACTGCTTGATCAGGGTGGTGTTTTTCTAAGAATGCGGTCACCTTTTCAAACATTCCCAACACTTCCCTGATCTCACTTGAAGAGGCAGCAGCATCCTCCCGTACCACCTCCTCCCCTGATGAGAGCTCTTGTGCCTCCTCTTGATTAAGCTCCTCCTGAAGTTCCAGGAGTTCCTCAGTGGTCAGTTCCTCACTGTGCTCCTCCACTAACTCCTGCACATCAGCAGCATCCAACTCCAGACCCAAAGTTTGCCCCAGAGCAACAATGCATCCACTAGATGCACTTCCGGGTCTTCCACAGGTGCAGATGCAGGTGCAGGACCGAAACCTTCGAAGTCTCGCTCAGGGACACCCTCAGGCCTCAGGTTACGCCATGCAGAGTTTAGGGTCCTCCGTGTCGCTCCTTCCCAGGCCTTATCGATCAAACGTAAGGCACCCAGGATATTGAAGTGATTCTTCCAGAATTCTTTGAGGGCCAGCTCTGTATTATCGATCACATCAACACACCTCTCCAACAAGGTCTTCATGTAGAGTTTCTTAAAGTTTGCAATGACTTTCTGGTCCATAGGTTGGAGGAGTGGAGTGGTATTGGGAGGAAGGAACTTGGTGATGAACTGATTTTCGGGATACAATTCATCTCACATCTGTGGAGGATGTGCAGGAGCATTATTGAGCACAAGCAAGGCCTTGAGTGGCAACTGCTTCTCTTCAAGATATTTCCTCACTGAAGGGCCAAAAACATCATTGATCCATTCAGTGAAGAATATCTGTGTGACCCAGGATTTCTTATTGGACCTCCACATCACATTCAGTCACACCTTGTACACTTTACATGCCTTGAACACGCGTGGATTTTCTTAGTGGTAGACTAGCAGCAGCTTGACCATGCAATCGCCACTTGCATTGGCGCAGAGCACGAGAGTAAGCCGATCCTTTATCGGTTTGTGGCCAGGCAAAGATTGTTCCTCCTGTGTGATGTAGGTCCTCTTTGTCATTTTTTTCCAAAACAGGCCAGTCTCGTCACAATTAAAAACTTGCTGGGGCAAGAACTCCTCTCTAGCAACAAATTCCTGGAACTCTGGTACAAATTTCTCAGCAGCAGCTTTATCAGAGCTGGCAGCCTCCCCATGTCGCACAACACTGTGGATACCGCTTCTCTTCCTAAATTTCTCAAACCATCCACGGCATGCCTTAAATATCTCCTCCTCTTCAGACGACGCACCTGGTGTCTTCCTGACAAGGTCCACATACAACTTCTTGGCCTTTGCACAAACAAGAGCTTCAGACACACTATTGCCATGTAATTGCCTTTCATTCATCCAGACTAGCAGTAGCTTTTCAACCTTTTCTAGGATTTTTGGACGTTTCTTGTTAACCTTGGTAACTCCTTTACCCACCTCAAGCATCTTAAATTGTTCCTTCCTCTACAGAATGGTACAAATCGTTGATGAGGACCTGCCATACTCCCTGATGAGATCAGTCACACGCACACCATGCTCGTGCTTTGCTATGATTTCCTTCTTCACTTCCACGGTAATTGTCACTTTCTTCCCCTTCCCAACACTGTCTTTAGCAAGCAGCTTCTTTGGCGACATTGTGCGTTACAAATTGCAGTCACAAAACCACAAAAAAAAAAAAAAAAGAGAAAAGCACAAATAAATCCAGAGGGATGCTTGTCGTGTGCGGTACAACAAGAAGACTGGCGTTATCTTGAGATGATTTCGGGGCTTTAGTGTCCCCGCGGCCCGGTTCTCGACCAGGCCTCCACCCCCAGGAAGCAGCCCGTGACAGCTGACTAACACCCAGGTACCTATTTTACTGCTAGGTAACAGGGGCATAGGGTGAAAGAAACTCTGCCCATTGTTTCTCGCGGCGCCCAGGATCGAACCCGGGACCACACGATTACAAGTCCAGTGTGCTGTCCACTCGGCCGACCGGTGTCGGAGGCGTCCGAGAATTTGTGAGAACCCGCGAGACGCTAGGAAGCACCATGTGGTTTGCTCGTTAATAGAGGTGAAGCTCGTCAATAGAGACAAATTTGCTGCGAGTGGCTCGCTCGTTACTGGCAATCCTCGTAAATAGAGCCGCTCGTTAATCGAGGTTCCACTGTAATTGCAAATATTCTCAATTTTTTTTTTTTTTTTCGTTTTTTTATACCTACGCATATCTTGGCCACCTCTTTTTTTTTCCTAATTTCTTTGTTTATGCATTCTTTCTCACTGTTGCTCTCATTGTTAATATTATCTGGCTCTGCAATATTGCTGTTGTTACGTACCACGATACACTCTTCCTCCACACTATTGCTGTGGTTCTGTAAACTACCAGTTCCTGAGTGTTGGTCATTGTCCAGGGTTGTTTTTCACAATCCCTAGAAAGGAGACGAGAAATATCAAATAATATACAGTACCATTGGAAAATACTGGAGGGCCAGGTCCCAAATCTACACAGTAAAATAACAACATACTGGTGTGAATGATATGGAAGAAAATGCAGAATAGAACCAGTGAAGAGCAGAGGTGCCATAGGCACAATCAGAGAACACTGTATAAACATCAGAGGTCCATGGTTTTTAGCATACTCCCAGCGAGTATAAGAAATATTGCCATGGATATCTTTGAGAGAAAACTAGATGGTTTTCTTCAAGAAGTGCCGGACCAACTGAGCTTTGGTGGATATGTGGCCACTCCAATCAACAGCCTGTTGGACCAAGTTCTCACAAGTCAATCCTGGCCCCATACTTGGGGAGTAGAAGAACTCCCAGAACGCCATCCAGCAGGTATCTAGTAGGTACAGGCATACCTCAGAATACGAGTTTAATCCGTTCCTGGAGACGCCTCGCCTTCCGAAAACTCGCATTCCGAAGTTAATTTCCCCATAAGAAATAAAGGGAAATGAATTAATCCGTTCCTGACTACCCCAAAAACCCCACATCAAACTAAATTTTTATACCTAATTTACCTAATTCATCTAAATAAACCTACAAAACTGTGTTCCAGTTATTACTTACCTTGCTGTCGAGTGCTGTAGGCGTATGGAAGATGGTGAGGAGGGGGAAGGAGGAGAGGAGTTACTGTTTGGAAGGGGAGTCCCCTTCCATAATCACATCACATAACCCCATGCCTTGTAACACTATGGATACCACTTCTCTTTCTAAATTTTTCAAACCAGCCCCTGCTTGCCTTAAACTCTTTCTTATCTGCATCACTCGTTGCAGGGGTATTCTTTAGAAGGTCTTCGTGCAACACCCTGACTTTCTCACAAATAATGGCCTCCGAAACACTATCACCCCTCAACTCCTTGTCGTGTATCCAAATTAATAACAACTTTTCCACTTCTTCAAGTATTTGTGGTCTTTGTGCCGTTAATGTTCTTACTCCTTTTGCCACTTTAGCACCCATAATCTTATTTTTCTTCTTAAGTATAGTGCATATTGTTGATGTGGCTTTGTTGTACTGCCTACAAAGTTCAACAACACGTGTACCGTTCTCATGCTTCCGAATGATCTCTTGTTTCTCCTCTATTGTCATCCTCACATGAGCTTTCTGGCCTTTATCCTTACCACTGGCTTTCTTGGGACCCATGGTGAGATATATAATAACAAATTGTATAGACAAATCACCAAAAATCCAACAAAACACTGAAAATCCGCGAGAAGAATTGATGTGGGGGTAGTCACTGAGCGCGAGACAATGGTAAACTGAGGGGCGGAGGGGCGACGATCGCCGAACCACCACGCGCTAGGTCGGCCTGTACGCGTATCAACAAACTCGCGTCCCGAAGTAACCCTCGCCTTCTGAGACAAATTTTTGGAGTAAATACTGCTCGCCTTCCGAAAACCTCGCACACAGGGACAATCGCATTCCGAGGTACCACTGTATATCACTTTTAATGGTGCCTTGAGCATAATCTTCATCAGGATCAGAATCATTCCTGATACGTTTCTCAACAGTTGAGAAGAATTCATCCTGAATTTCATCTTCAGTCAGTGAATGCTTAGAGCAAGCTGCAGCACGGTGACGTGAGCTAGACGACGATGCCTAACACATGATTGCTAGAGTGAGACTAAGGCCTTCGCACTAAACTGGCCTATTCAGGATTTTTTTCAAGATGGATTCTGTTTACTATTGCCCGTGGGCACCGTATGGGTGCCTTGTTTTCTATGTGGGGCATTTAAATATTTCATTATACCCTGTTACTTTGTATGATGGGTTATGGAGTCTTAACTTTTTTTTTTAGCTAGCCCATCATATGATGGGATGCACAGTCAAAAGGTTAATGTTGCACTCATTCCTTGATATCTTTTAATGTTTCTTCCGTTGTTCTTTGGCACGTGTATTTGTTGCAGGCTGTCTTCTTTCTATCCACAAATTCTTCTCTTTCAGTCCAGGTTTGTGGAAATGACTTCATGTTCATGATATTCAAGTCACTATATTTTATTCTCTTGCAGATGTTTCGTGTGCAAATTGTTAGAGATATTTTAACACTCAATGGTATTTGATGTGGACAGTCTCAAGAGGTTGTTCTTTGCAGGAATAAAGCCTCAGAGATAAATTAAAAAGATTTTATAATTGCTGTATTAAAATTACATTGTCTCCATCTTCATTCCATATATTGTTCATTATTGCAAAGTTTTGTGCTGATTTTTTATATTTTTTCAGTATTGTGGGCAGCAGTCATGATGAAATGAGCATTGGTGAACTTAGACAGTTCTTTTTGTGTATGAATAATATTGCCTCAGAGTTGTCAAGTGTGCCTTCTTCATATCTGTACCTTCATCAGCTGTACACACCTTGCATCATGCTCAATGGGGATGGCAAGGTAAGTTGTATTGAGTACACTAATGTATTTGGAAGAGTAATTCTCGAAAGTAAGTTATGTCAATTTGGATATTTCACCATATTTTCTGATGAACGTACATTTTAATGTTCATTTGGTCCCATATGTAAGATATTTCTTAATATTTAGTGCACTGATAAAAGAGCACAAGGGTGTAAAAATAGAGAGAGGAAGAAAGAGAGGGCGAGGGAGGAAGAAAGAAAGGGTGAGGAAGGATTGGAGGATAATACAGGAAGAAAGAGAGGACAAAGAAGTGGGAAGAAGAACAAAAAAGGAAATCAAAACAGAGAGAAGGAAGAAATAAAGCAGACACTGAAGTGATCATACCAGTGATTGTCTGAAGAAACGAAAATGGACCAGAAAGCTATACAAGAGATTAAGAAAAATCAAAAATTTTTTTTTCACATATGCAAAATCAAAATGAAAAACCTTCTTCAGTATTGGTCCTATACTTACAACTGAATGTTCGTACAGAGAAGATGACAAAGAAATTAATGAAATCCTAAAAGACCAGTATGAGGCTATGTTTAACACGTCAATAAATAATAAGAAAGTAACAAATTCTTCATGATTGCCATCCAAACCCCAGGCATATAACTGATATCAACACGAACACAGAAGTGATTGAAAGAGAAATTGACAGCATGCCTTCTTCCACCCTGTGACTACAATGCCATCCAGAAGAAATACTGCATGGCATTGTAGTCACGTTGGAATAGGTGAAAAAATCCTGGGGGAACTGGTGGCTGAGCGGACAGAACACTGGACGCGTGATCCTGTGGTCCTGGGTTCGATCCTGGGCGCCGGCAAGAAACAATGGGCAGAGTTTCTTTCACCCTGATGCCTCTGTTACCTAGCAGTAAATAGGTACCTGGGAGTTAGTCAGCTGTCACGGGCTGCTTCCTGGGGGTGGAGGCCTGGTCGAGGATCGGGCCGCGGGGACACTAAGCCCCGAAATCATCTCGAGATAACCTCAAGAACTAGATGTGACAAAATCAATGGGGCCAGACCTAATCTCAACATGGCTGCTGAGGGAAGCTGCGGAAGTACTTTGCCACCCGTTGACTAAAATTTTAATAAAATCCTTGAGACAGGAAGTCTCCCATGTCTGGAAAATGCCAAATGTAGTCCCAATATTTAAAAAAAAAGGATAGAAAGGAGATACTAATCTACACGAGTGTTATTAACCCTCAAACCGCTAGGGGTCCAAATGGATTTAACACCCACAGGTGCAACAAAAAAAAAAATTCAAAAAATTCTTTCGTCTTATAGAAGTATTTATTTTTGTTCCCTGATCACAGAAAAAATAACAAAAAAATCGTAGGTGGCATATTTTAGCCGCAATAGGGTAGGGAAGTCTGGCAAAAAAGGGGCGTTGACAGAGCCTTTGCCAGGCAAGGTCTACTCCGCTCGAGCTGTCAGGTGGCAGTTGCCACAAATATATTATTACCTAATTATTTCAATGTGTCTGATTTATTTTTTCTTAGTTTTTTGCAGTAATATTATTCAATACAGTGACTTGTGATATATTTATATAATAAAATGTGTGAACCATCGCTGTCCTCAAAATTATGGTGTGCATATTAGTGATTCAATTATTTTGTTCATAAAACAATAAACAAATAGTTTTGCTGTTATTACACTATATACTGTGACGGTGTTCCCCCCCCCCCCTTATATTTCTCCCACGCCTGCTGTAAGAGTCATGTCCACTTTACCCGAGCGTTCTCTACGTCGCAGGCATCAGTTTGATATATGTGGGAGAGTGTAGTGTTCTCGAGGTGGCGAGAAATTCGAGAAAGAAAAGTATTTTGGCCTGTGGTATAGGCCCTTTAGGAAGCCAATATGGCGCTGGCCCCTTCGTTTTGCCGCCAAAACTGTGTGACGTCAGTGGCACCAGATTGGTCACCGGCAGCGATGTGGCACAGGGAGCCAATGAAAACCTCCCTTGGCAAGTATGACGTCACGAAGGCAGGAAGGTCCGGTCATAGCGCCACGGCGGCGCCATCAGTCTGTCACGACACGTCAAGGTGGACGGATGTGTGAAGGTTGATCCTGTCAATCTGACAGTAATACGCCACTCCCGTGGATCTTACGCGTCACCTGTAGTCAGCAAGTACGCTGAGAGGTCTTCATTCATTCCATGTGTGGATCGAAAAGGGAATTGACGGAATATTGAGCATCAAGTGCTCCAGGGTCGGGTGCTGTGCAGGTGAAGTCTAGGCAGTATCGTCTGGGACGTCTGATAGCTTCACAGTGACGACGTAGCGGCTGGGCCAATCCACTGGGAAGCAGTGAAAGAAGATACTAATTGGGAATCCGTACGACTGCAGCCGAGACGTAAGTTGGCAGCCGTAGTTGGGAGGAGAAGTTGACGGCCGGGAGACCGACTCCAACCCTACAAGACGTGGAGGAGGAGGAGCATGGACCCGCGGAGGACAGAACACGGAGACGACGCGTTTATTTTGGGACGTTGATTGGGTTCCTGGAGGACACGACAGGGTGTGTGTGGGGGCGTTCCCTACACGAGGCGGGAGCCTGGACCAGGAGCTACAACTCAACTCTCACCGGAGGATAGGTGGAAGTAGGTGATTCTAGTTTCCCTCCCAATTCCCCTTTAGTCAGCTATATTATTTAGCCAGAGTATTTTGTATGTCGTGAGCAAGGCTCATCAATGTCACGGTAGGACACAGTTGTGAGAAGTGGGGCTGGAGAAAGCTCTCACAGGATATTTGCGGTGTGTGGATATACCTGTGTTATTATTATTGAAGAGTTTGCTGTGTTAGTTGATGAATTCTTTCATGTGACATTTTTAGTATAACTTATGCCAGAGAATATATATATAAAGTGAACCAGTTATTGGTGTTAGGCTGTGTGCCCAGTATTGATATTATTACTATTATTGATATCTATGATTTATCTATATATATACATGCTTGTGTGTTGAATAATTTCTCATGTGTGCAGTGATCAATTGAATATTCGCCTACGAAAGGAATTACTGAGAACTCCAGTATTATATCTTGTAGCATTCGTTATCATTATATGAAGTACAGTGTGTTACGCCATGATAGTGAATTATTATGTTCATTAATATAGATATATGTGATTGAGCTCAAAATCAGTGCAGTGAATCATCTGCGTTCTATTGCCATTATAGCAGTAATCGTGTTGTGTGTTAATACAGTGATAGTTGAGAATTTAAAGAAACAGGCGCCTCACGCCAGACAAACAGATAAACGAACATTCGCGCGGTGAGAATCGCTCAGCTGATTTTGACATTTGATGCGAGGGGGAGAGTGTGTTGCCATATAGTGTGCCCAAATTATATGTGGAGAGAGAGAGCGACTCCTGCTTGTACTTGTACGCGTGTGGATATATGAATATGATCTCTTGAGTTTTAAGTAAAATACAAAATTTCTTCTCGTTTGTATTACCCCCTCCATAATTCTTGCTGCTACCTAACTATTACAAAGGTGAGAGTGATAGATACATACCTGCCCAATATCAGATCTATTGAGTGTGTTCTTGCCGCTGTTACCACAATACCACTGACGTGTTACTGGACACAGGAAACACCAGTTGGCGACCTTGTGGTTAATAGTAGAGCCCTTGCCGGGGCGGGCACACAGTTGAAAGAGCAAACTGTGTCCCCACTCATCTCTAACTACTAAGGCCGGTTGGGGATCGACTGGGGTACTCTCCTGGCGTACAGTGGCGCCGCGAGGATGTAGTGAAGACCTGCAGGGCTACGGTGAGTAACGGTTATCGCTAATAGTGCGACCGTTGAGAGGACATCTTGTATACTGTTGCTCACCCTCTTATGGTGAACCCCGACAATACACAGGTTATATATAAGTATCTGCATGTTTTGCTCACCATAATGAACCACTAAGTTGGTATTGTGAGTCAAAATGCAACGAGGAGTGACCGCCAAACACCTGCCTGCCACTTCCTCCCTCAACACCACCTCACTTGCCCTCATTCTCCTCCCACAATGCTGTTTTTGCATTTATTCACTATACACAGATGTTATATATAAGTATTTACATGTTTTGTTCACCATAACTGTACATCTAAGCTTGTATGCTGAGTAATGGCCCAAAGACGTAGCTACTCGCACAGTCAGCTGATGGCGGCCGCCCTCAAGGCCAGACGTACTAATATTTCTTCTCCAACAATACTGCTTGTGATGTTATTACGCTATATACACACATTATATATAATTATCTACCTGTTTTATTCACCATACCTGTACAAATAAGCTGGTATGGTGGCCAAAGACCACAGTGGCCACCAGTAAACATAATGATAAGTCGTGCAGACGACGCCACCGCCTTCACCAAAATGGCGGCTCCCAACCTACTCCTCTTGCTGTTATTACACTCTATACACACGTTTTATATAAGTATTTACATTTGTGTTCATAGCGATCCACTAGGCTGGTATGGTGAGTGCAGTCAATAAAAGGTGGCCACACACAGTCAGAAGACGACACCACCACCCTCCCTCCCTCCCACAGCATTACTCCTCTCTCCTCCCTCCATGGAGCACAGCGCTAAATATCACCACGATCCTGCTTTTATCAGAATCCTGGTCAGTTTTATCACAGACAGGGGTCTTCTGTAATACTATCATTGCTAAATAATAAGATGAACATATTTATTATGGCATTTGTAGGCGATGCCGTGGTTACAAGCTGAACAGTGGTGCTGTGAGCTCGTGCTGCGTGCATCAGCCTTGGTGGCTTGCTCAATACTGAAGCTCTCACACCCAAGAATGTTGGCCTGGATTTTTTCTAGGTGACATCTGGCAACTATTGGTTGTGACTGCACTATAGCTGCCCCTATCCTAGGCAGGGCATTTAAATTATTGCGCTAGACATGAAATCATATACAGTAGAACCTCGATTAACGAGTGGCTCTATTAACGAGTTTTTCCAGTAACGAGCAAGCCACTCGCAGCAAATTTGTCTCTATTGACAAGCTCGCCTCTATTAACGAGCAAAACCACATGGTGCTTCCTAGCATCTCGCGGGTTCTCGCAAATTCTCGGACGTCTCAGACGCCAGTGTTGTTGTTGTATCGCACACGACAAGCATCCCTCTGGATTTATTTGAGCTTTTCTTTGGGTTTTTAGTGGTTTTGCGACTACAATTTGTAACACACGATATCTCCAAAGAAGCTGCTTGTTAAAGATAGTGTTGTCAAGAGGAAGAAAGACACAATTACTGTGGATTTAAAGAAGGAAATTATAGCAAAGCATGAGTGTGGTGTCTGTGTGATTGATCTCACAAGTGAGTATGGCAGGTCCTCATCAACAATTTACACCATTAGTAAGGGAGGATGCTGCCTCTTCCACTGAGATCAGGGAAGTGTTTGGAATGTTCGAAAAGGTGAATGCATTCTTGGAAAAGCTGCCCTGATAAAGCAGTGACAACCTGGTGTGTGAAAATGTTTAATTAATTTATCACTTTGTGATAACACTTTATGAAAGTGTTATCACTTTCGCAGGTATATGTCGCTTGAACGTGACACACTTTTTTCTCTTGAATGCACCCAAACACTGCTCTCAAGCGTCATTTGAGCAAATAGTTCTATAAAATCCAGTTCTTATCCGATCGACTTGGGGATTGTATACATGTTTGCCATGAAATTTCCGTTTTCTTTAATAACCACATTGCCTATTTGAGAAAACGGCATTGTATTGTATCTTCGTGGTAAGACTATTATATTGTTGACACAACGAGTGTAATCGACGTAGTTTTTTATTTGGTGCTGGTCTAACGCATCCTTGTGTGACATTTGAAATGAAATTTGAGTGAAATTCCCAAGAAGAGAGAGTCCGCCTGACTCAGAGGTGGATTCTCCTTCCACACCATAACCCCTCTCCTCCTTCCCACCTCCCCATTGTCTCCCTCAAGCCAGCAACTACTCTTCATAAGGTAAAGTAAATATTAAAACACTACAACAAAACATTTATATTTACATGTGCAGTATTATATTTACATAAAAAAAGTCATACAAGTATGGATGTTTTTGGGAGTGGACCGGATTAAATTTATTTCCTTTATTTTAAATGGGGAAATTTGTTTCTTAAGACGAGTTTTCCAGGTAACGAGCTCTGTGCCAGAACGGATTAAACTCGTTAATAGAGGTTCCATTGTATGTTGAATATGTCTTTACCACATCAGGGGCATAAACTGATGGGAACTACTGAGGACTGCCTAAAGATAAACAATTCATTACACTGAACACTTTATTTTATCTTGCGACATGATGATGTTTATGTCTGTTTTGATTGTCTACAATCAAAACGTATCTACAGTAGTGTTATGTGTCACATACACATATCAGGAAAATATATTTGTAAAATATTGTGACAAGTGGCAGTGAGATATGCAGTACATATCTTGCAAGATAATACTGTACTGAATAGTTAGTGAGAAAGTGAGTATCACTTATGAATAATGATTAATAATATAATTAAAAAGCCAAGTAGACTAATAAATTAATTTACACACAGGTGAGACTAACGTGCGGCCGTAGTGCATCCGTATTGCTCAACCATCTCATAAATATTTTCATTCAGACTACAAATTGCTATGCAATTGAAGATCGTTTGAGAGTAAGTATTATTCTTGAAATTAACATGTCTACATTTTAAGTTGCTGAAATATAGTTTGATGAATATTCATTTCAGATGTCCTTTATTTCCTGGAAGCTTCCCAGTTATTGAGAATGGCAAAATATAGAATTTTTGTCTTATGACTTTGGAATATGACTGCATATTCCCTGTTGCTTATTTTCTTGTTTAGGACTTCTGTCTCTCTGACTAGTGCTCTTGCATCTTGGTTTAATTAAAAGAGGATTTCTCCAAATGTCATATTTGTTTAAGATTGACTAAAGGAATAAAAATTAACTTTAGAATGTATTATACTTATTATAATTTACACAACATTTCAAACCTATAAGGTTCATTCTCAAGTGAGGAGACAGTAAAGAACATCTTATTTATACCACGGGGAGGTTTGTTTGCCATTTGTCAGAAAATTTGCACCAAATTGATTGGGAGAGTTCTTCTTCAATAACAAATTGTAAAAGATTGGGAGAGGTCTTCTTCAATAACGAATTGTAAAAGCATTTTCAACAGACCATTTAACAGAATCTGTTTTAATAAAAATCTTAAAGCCATACAATGTGAACATTAATTATATAATGGTTTGCATAATTTGAATCCATTTTTAATTGATCAACTAAAGAATTATTTGAGTAAGATTGTTAATACACCGTTATTTCAATAATATCTCATTAGCATTGTTGTCTCCTGGAACTCATATGTATTGGTCATTGGGCCTTCTGCAGTTTCCTCTTATGTTTGTGAATAAAAACATTATTTTCTGTGGGGAGCCCCTACGGCTCCCCAGAGCTTACCAGGCTGATGTGTATGTATTAGACCATGGCATCCTTTGATTGGAGTTCTTGACAACTGGGGACCATAAGCTATAACCTGGGCCCCCCCCCCCTTCCTCAAAGAGGCACCAGGAGCAATGGCCTATGGAAACAACTCCCGTGTATTTGGAAGCATTCCATGTCTGCCATCGACTGGGGTCTGGCACCCAGAAAGGTAGGTGTAACAAAACAAACCCCACATGGTAAAAAATTCTACTAAAACCCCAACAGATAGGCAAAACTCCCAAACTAAAACAAGCAAACACAAAACTCCCAAACTAAAACAAGCAAACGTCACTAATGCTGTCGAACCGATTGTTCACCCAGAAACCCTCCCCCCTTCCCTGCGCCGGTCGCTACAGCCGTTGGTTCCTCGACTGATGTAGACTGGCAGTCTTCAACTCTGCCATCTAACTCTTGCAGTTCTGTGCCTTGTGGTGTATTTCTGCAGTGTGTGGTTCACAGGCCAGAAGTAATTCATCAGTATTGGGGCTGCATGCTTTTAGGGTCTCCTTCCCTAAGTGCCCTGTAAGTACTGCCCTTGCGTCTTGGGGTTCACTTCCACAGGGCGTTCGGGAACTGCTTCCATAGGGGGTCTTTTACTGCTTGGCAATTGCCCGCCCTTGGGACCAGCTGGGGTTTTTGTTGCCACTGTGCAACCCGTTCTCGCAAATTTAATAAGTCAATATTGACTTATTAAATATGTGCATAGGTGACATACTTAACATAATAGATACCCTTAAAAAAATTCATAGAAAACACCGACCTTACCTAACCTTGTTAGTATCTTAAGATAAGCATCTTATTGCTTCGTAATTACAATTATTACCTAACCTATAATAGGTATAGGTTAAGTAATAATTGTAATTACGAAGCAATAAGATGCTTATCTTAAGATACTAACAAGGTTAGGTAAGGTCGGTGTTTTCTATGAATCTTTTTAGGGGTATCTATTATGTTTAGTATATCACCTATGCACGTAGTTAATAAGTCAATATTGACTTTACGAATTTGCGAGAACGGGTTGCACTGTTTTGTGTTGGGTAGGAAGTGGAAGAAAGTGTAGTGTAGTGTAAGTGGTATCGTTGCTGTAGGGGCGCATGTATTTTGCAGCAGCTTGTTTCCCATTATTCACAGTGGCTGGTTCTGTTCTTCCTGTGTACATTGTGCTTTTTTTTTTTTTTTTTTTTTTTTTTTTTTTTTTTTTTTTTTTTTTTTTTTTTTTTTTTTTTTTTTTTTTTTTTTTTTTTTTTTTTGCCTGGGAGGGGTCTTCCCCTTTGCTTTATCCACCTTCTCTTATATAGGCGGTCCTCCGCTTGGCTCCCGTGCTTATACACGTTGCAGGAGTTCAGGTTTTTAGCAGTTCTCTTGGTAATTTGGACCTAACCTGTTAGCAATACTTTGCCTGAGTTTCCCCTTAGCAGTCAGCCTAAGTAGCCCTGGAAAATCTCACTGGGACTCTTTGGATGTGTCCTCTGAGTTCCAACTCTCCGAGTGTGAGTTTGATGGTTGCTTTGTCGCATTGTCTCGGGTGACACTCACCAATTTTGGGTCAGTGACACCTTCGACCCGGAGTCTTACAAATTATGCTCCTTGCTTGTGCTCCAGATTACTCAGTCCTCTCATATATTGACATTCGGGTACAGACGGCTTCGACGTTGCATGCTTGATATCAGTTGCTGCAACGCCTGATAGGTGAGTGGACATCGCTCGGGATTCATAGTCCTGAAGTTCCAGGTTCGATCCCCTGTAGAGGTGGAAACAAATGGGCAGATTCTTTTACCCTGATGCTCCTGTTCACCTAACAGTAAATAGGTACCTGGGAGTTAGACGGCTACTACGGGCTGCTTCCTGGGGTGTGTGTGTAACAAAAAGGAGGCCTGGTCAAGAACCGGGCCACGGGGACGCTAAGCCCCGAAATCATCTCGAGATAACCTCAAGAAGGAAGATACCGCATTAGTTGGTTGCTCATCCAGATGCCCTGAGGGTACCCTGCTTGAGTATAGGTACCCGGACTTGGGGGCATTAGTCAAATCGATTTTGGTTTCGTCCGCGCTCCCGAGTTCTCCAGTTAGTGTTGTTAGTCCTGCTCCCCACTCTCCCTGCTTCCGGCTCCCTTAGGGTTTCGGATTTGGGGCGGGGTTTAGATGGTAGCGAGACTTGGGCAGCTTCGGGGACTGCCCCGAAGAGCCGGTGGGCCGAGCGGACAGCACGCGGGACTTGTGATCCTGTGGTCCTGGGTTCGATCCCAGGCGCCGGCGAGAAACAATGGGCAGAGTTTCTTTCACCCTATGCCCCTGTTACCTAGCAGTAAAATAGGTACCTGGGTGTTAGTCAGCTGTCACGGGCTGCTTCCTAGGGGTGGAGGCCTGGTCGAGGACCGGGCCGCGGGGACACTAAAAGCCCCGAAATCATCTCAAGATAACCTCAAGATAGCCCCTTCCAGGTCGGCAATGGAGGCATTCGAGCCTGCTCCTCCTGCCGAGGCTTCCGGGTCTTACCAGTAGACCCCCACCCCCCTTCTTCTCAACCTTTCCGGGTACTGGCTTGGAGGATCCCGGGGCTGGGGAGTTGATTTGGTTGGGGGGGGGGGCCTGGGTCCTGTTTGAACCCACTTGGGTGTTGGTACCCTCGTCATGGGGCTTGTTGTTTCAGGGGGAAGGAATTTCATACCCTCCTCCCCTGTACGAGTATGATTTGGGTTCGGTTCCGGATTTCCCTGGATTCTTCGGTTCCTTCCTTCCAGAAGTTTTTGGCTTCTCGAATCCTGCCTAAGGAGGTTCCGGAGGCCATTGCAGATTACGCCTTGGTGATGGATCCGTCTTCATTTGAGTTCGGTTCAACCTTCTATTGGGTGCATTACGAGGTACCAGAGACTTCCTGGTTGGCATTTGGTCTTAGTCTTACGTTTCTTTCTTTTTTCTCGGAGCCAGTCTGAAGACAGCTTGAGAAGGATATGGAGACGCTGGGTGCCGGGTCTTCGTTTGGTGCACCTCAAGGTAGGTGCGGTTGCCTCGGCGGCTAGGGCGTCCGCTGCCTTGTTGAAGTTATTTGCACCAATTCTCAAGAAGGCAGTGTCTTTGTTTTTTGTTTCTCGCCTCATGTATAGTCAGGCTGTGCTTGCTCTCTCCTTGGAATCTGCTTGTGCTTTGACTCTTAGGTTTTTGTCGCCCTTTTGTCCATTGCTGTTTGTAGAGTCAGCTGTCACGCAGTTTCTGCAAGCAGCCTTGTCTAGTTGTCATCCCATGTCAGACTTGTTTGTTCTCCAGGGAAACATTCTAGGTTCGTGAGGAAAAAATACCTATTGCCTATACTATAAAAGGTATTTAATAAGAAAACAAAGAATTTTGCTTAATAATAATTGTTTCAAAATATTTTATTAATAATAATTTAGAATTTTCTTCATTAAACTGAATGATTTTAAAATAAAGTTAAGTTTTATTATATAACTCTGGATGATCGAGGTTGGTGGCCTGATCGCCATGCGAGAGGCCGCCGATGTCAAAACAAACCCAATACCGACCATCGGTAATATCAACCGCCAGACCGGTATACGAGACTCCAGATACCAGTCTCCCAAACCGGTCGTTATTACCGGCAGATCGGTATAAAAGAGGCCGTTAAATTGAGTGGATATTTATATCGGTATAGTGATATACTCCATTGGCTTCGTAGAGTGGAGTCCAGGGGCTCATCCTGAAATTGGCGTTTCATTGCATACAATGCTGGTATTTTGGGGCAGTTCGATCTGGACAATGAGTGAGTACATAATTTGAGTTTGGGTTACCAATATTTTCCATGCAGTTGCTTGTTTTAAGGCACTATTTTTTCATTTTGTCCTGGGTTGTTCTATTGTCCCCAGTCTTTCTTGCCTCTGTTGAGGGGACGTGGAACTAACCAGATGTTACTCGGGGTACCACCAATGGGACCCCCAATAAAAATGCATTCTATTATACTCAACATGGGATTTTTTTCAGGTGCAGGATGGAAGTTATATTAATGACGATAGCGACACTGGTCAGGAAACACATGAAGGATAACGACAAGATTTGTTACAAGGAAGATGTTTTATTTTTTAAAGGAACAGTTACAAATGTAACTGTGATTGTATTTTTTAATTAGCTTGTAAATATAAGCTTTTAAAATGTCTAATACTTGTCTTATAATGGGAACTGTGCTTTTATAAAGCTTCAAAAAACAAAGCTTTTTGTATGCTTACTTGTCATTTCTTCATTAAATTCTGCCTAGAATGTTTTAAAATATTATTTTAATCAGTTGTTTTTATTAAAAAAAAGAAGGTTTTTATTTGTTTTTTGTAAATCTTAAAAAATAATTTTTATAATAATTTTCGTATGATTGAAATACTCTATTTTGTGCACTGTTAGAAACGAAAGTACAGTACTAGTGAGTAACAGGTGTAGTGGTGGGAGTACAAGTAGAGATGAAAGTACTAGTGAGTAACAGCTGTAGTGGTGGGAGTACAAGTAGAGATGAAAGTACTAGTGAGTAACAGCTGTAGTGGTGGGAGTACAAGTAGAGATGAAAGTACTAGTGTGTAACAGGTGTAGTGGTGGGAGTACAAGTAGAGATGAAAGTACTAGTGAGTAACAGGTGTAGTGGTGGGAGTACAAGTAGAGATGAAAGTACTAGTGTGTAACAGGTGTAGTGGTGGGAGTACAAGTAGAGATGAAAGTACTAGTGTGTAACAGCTGTAGTGGTGGGAGTACAAGTAGAGATGAAAGTACTAGTGAGTAACAGCTGTAGTGGTGGGAGTACAAGTAGAGATGAAAGTACTAGTGTGTAACAGCTGTAGTGGTGGGAGTACAAGTAGAGATGAAAGTACTAGTGTGTAACAGCTGTAGTGGTGGGAGTACAAGTAGAGATGAAAGTACTAGTGTGTAACAGGTGTAGTGGTGGGAGTACAAGTAGAGATGAAAGTACTAGTGAGTAACAGCTGTAGTGGTGGGAGTACAAGTAGAGATGAAAGTACTAGTGAGTAACAGCTGTAGTGGTGGGAGTACAAGTAGAGATGAAAGTATGGTAAGTAATGTGTATGACAGCTGTAGTGCTGGAAATATATGCTTATAAGTAATTGCACTTTCTTCATTAGAATGATCTTTACTTTTCTGAATATTTGGTTGATTACTGTATATACCTGACTAGCTAAACACTGCAGATCTTACACAGTATTTCAAAATTTTGGTTAGATTGCTCCTTAGACTGCTCTAGATTCATATCATTATAAATTCATGTTCCATACGTTGATTAACTTACTAATTGTACATACATTTTACAATCTGTCATATTTAAAATATCTTGATGTATATTGTTAGTTTATGATTAAGCTTTGATTGTACCTGGCAGTCAACCTGAAATTTAAATAAAAGGAAACTGAATATATTTTGTTTGTACATTATGCAACCATCTCAACAATCGGTTACTTGTGCTACAATGCAGCTCTTTAGAATTGTTATATATAACATTATGTAGTCAGCTCATTAGCTATATATATAGAGCTATTATGTGTGAGAATTAGTTGGATGTCTTGTATTTGTTGCATTACACTGTAAAGTGTTGGTATGAACACACCACACACACACACTTGTGTGCTGTGTGGTTTTTCTCGCCAGTCTCATTCAGCTTGATTTCATTTCTTTTAGGTGTTTGGATGAATTATTTATTTTGTACTTCATAAGACAGGTTTTTGCTTCATTGATAATTTTGATGATTATTTTGTGTATGAAACATTATTAATCTGGTTATTTGTGTTTGTGTGCATGAGTTTATTTTAGTGTGCTTAATTCACAATGCATTTTTTACATTGTGAATCATATTACATAACATATATTTGCTGACATTTAGCGAGTGCAGTCCAAGTTTGTATCAGTGACTAAGAATGGTTGTTATAAGATGCAAGAAGTGGGGTTGTGCCTGTCCTCGTTGCAACCCGTTCTCGCAAATTTAATAAGTCAATATTGACTTATTAAATATGTGCATAGGTGACATACTTAACATAATAGATACCCTTAAAAAGATTCATAGAAAACACCGACCTTACCTAACCTTGTTAGTATCTTAAGATAAGCATCTTATTGCTTCGTAATTACAATTATTACCTAACCTATAATAGGTATAGGTTAAGTAATAATTGTAATTACAAAGCAATAAGATGCTTATCTTAAGATACTAACAAGGTTAGGTAAGGTCGGTGTTTTCAATGAATCTTTTTAAGGGTATCTATTATGTTTAGTATATCACCTATGCACGTAGTTAATAAGTCAATATTGACTTTACGAATTTGCGAGAACGGGTTGCTCGTTGAACAACTACCTGTCTAACTCCAACACCTGAGTCACGGACCACCTCTCTGGTGAAGAGAGGTGGTCCGGTACATAACACATTATTCTATTTATTAAACAAAACCTGGCTGTGCCTGGGGTCTCTCTTCCACCTTCCTCCTCTCCCACTCCTTTCTCTTTTCCCCTCTCCCCATCTTTTCCACTCTCCACCAACATCCCACTCTTACCCTTCAGCCAATCTCCTCCCCCTCCCTTTCCACCCAATCTCCCCTCCTCTCCACCTTTCTCTCCCTAACATCTCTGTCCTCTTTTCAATATCTCCTCCTCCTCAATATTTCCCACTCTTCCCTCTCTCATCTCCCCCATCTCCATCTTTCCCCTTCACATTTCTCCCCCTCCCCCATTCTTCTCTGGGCTCTGTGCTCTGGCTCCATTCGGACTGTTTTCCCCATGGTTCACTATCTCAACTTGGGGGAGAAGGGAGGGTTCGCTTTGGTTCCTGTTCTCCTTCCTTGGAGCTGGATATTTCGGGTAGCTCTTCTACTGGATTCTCTGGTTTTGGCTCTATGCTTAGTTCATGTCCAGGGACTGTCCTATGTTCTCATGGATGGTTTCTCCTCATTCCTTCCCATTTTCACAGAGTGGACCGTTGATGACACTTATTTCCTGTGACTTTGTAAAATGTTTGGACACCCTGGTTGATGGGTTCTGGGAGTTCTACTTCCCAAGCCCGGCCCGAGGCCAGGCTTGACTTGTGAGAGTTTGGTCCACTAGGCTGTTGCTTGGAGCGGCCCGCAGTCCCACCTACCCACCACAGCCCAGTTGGTCCGGCACTCCTTGGAGGAATAAATCTAGTTTCCTCTTGAAGATGTCCACGGTTGTTCCAGCAATATTTCTTATGCTTGCTGGGAGGACGTTGAACAACCGCAGACCTCTGATGTTTATACAGTGTTCTCTGATTGTGCCTATGGCATCTCTGCTCTTCACTGGTTCTATTCTGCATTTTCTTCCATATCGTTCACTCCAGTACGTTGTTATTTTACTGTGTAGATTTGGTACTTGGCCCTCCAGTATCTTCCAGGTGTATATTATTTGATATCTCTCTCGTCTTCTTTCTAGTGAGTACATTTGGAGGGCTTTGAGACGATCCCAATAATTTAGGTGCTTTATTGCGTCTATGCGTGCCGTATATGTTCTATGTATTCCCTCTATTTCAGCAATCTCTCCTGCTCTGAAGGGGGAAGTGAGTACTGAGCAGTACTCCAGACGGGACAACACAAGTGACTTGAAGAGTACAACCATTGTGATGGGATCCCTGGATTTGAAAGTTCTCGTAATCCATCCTATCATTTTTCTGGCTGTCGCAATATTTGCTTGGTTATGTTCCTTAAACGTTAGGTCGTCAGACATTATTATTCCCAAATCCTTTACATGCTGTTTTCCTACTATCCTACTACCCTGGACATAACCTTTTGATGATACATGGATTCAGTGTTTTCCCTTGTATGCGGCTCCATTTCCTAATTGCGAGGTCCTCACAGTGGATGCCTTTCAGCTAGATTGATCAATGAGGGGGTTCCTGGCCCTCTTCACCCCAGTCTGTCTGTTTGTTCCGGATCCTGGCTACATTGGGGTCTTACAGGGGGAGGGTGATCCTTGTGGCTCCTTGGTGGCCAGCTGAGCCTTGTTTCAGGCACTGCTTGCTCGGTGTCTGAACCCGAGCATTTTTCTGCATCTCCAACTCTACCAGAAGATCAGCCCAGTGACTTACCTCGCTGGTTCAACCTTCTCCTTAGCTCTTTTCGTCTGGTACTTTTCATGCATATTTATCCCAATCTTTACAGTAAGAATGTAGCTTCTTTGATTGTGTTCCACCCGCATATGAGGTTTCGTGGCGCTCCTTTTGCCACTTCCTTTTTCTTTGCTGTTGTTCTTTGGGGTAAGCATTTGGTGCTCTTCTTTCTTTCTTGGCTTTTTTTTTTATCAGCATCTCATGCTGAATACTGTCTCCTCATATGCTGTACTGGTGGAGCTGCTGCTGCTTGCGTTCGGTATCTATATTACCTCGGCTCCATTTCACAAACAGTTTTGCACATTGTTTCAGCTCCATGCTGCTCGTGCACTGCCTGACCCTACTTTGTCTATAAACTGTGTTCTTGCATGTCTTTCTTCCTCTTGATTTACAGTGTCTCATTCAGTTTGTGATTGTTTCCTAAAGTCTTTGTTCTTAGTTTCTCTTGCCTCCAGTTGTCAGTTGGGATCTCCATATTCTCCTCCAGAGATGTTTTTTTTGTTATTTTGACCCTGGTGGGAATTTTGTTCATTTGCAGGCAGCTCCTTCTTTTCTGCCAAGAATGAGTCTGTTGGCTTCCTGAGGAGCCCTTTGGTCATTGATGCTTATGCTTGGTTAGTTCAACCAGGGGTTCATCATGTGCTGTGTCCAGTCGTGGCTCTCTGCCACTATCTTCTTGCCATCAATTCTGCCTCAGTAGATGCCTTGTGGGTGGATCCTAGTACAGTGCCCCATGTTCTAAGATTCGTCTTTCTCAGGTCGTCTGTAGTGTTATTAAATCTAGCCATCCCTGTAGTCTACCCTTGCACCCATAATGTTAGGAAATATGCCGCTCTTTCGCCAGTCTTTGCCAACATGTCTTGGGCTGATATTCGGCCACAGGGTTTTTTGAAATCTAACAGTGTTCTGGTGCCCTTGTACCTGGTCAATGTTCCCAGACCTTCGCACCTTTGTCTGGCTTTAGGTCATGTCTCTCAGGCAATGGTCACATCTTCATGATTCCTGAAGTGGTTCCGCCTTCCTGGTGAGTTCCCGTTTGTTTTCCTTCTCTGTGGGTATTTAGCCTTAGCGAGCCACATTGGGCTTCCTCCATGAATGAATGAAACACAAATTTCTGGGCGATCCCCAGTGGTTCCTTGATCCCCTCCCTCTCTTCCAGGTTCAGTTGGTTGTTTACATCTGCTCTAGAACTGGAGCTGAGCTGCCAGCTGACAGTGTGGTACCTGCCACACTCCCTTAAAAGGGTTTGGAAGGTTGGCCAAAGAAGCTCATGATGGATCTGAGAGATTTCAGTCATTTGTGCACATAATTGGGGGGAGTTCTCTAGACAGGTTTTGAGGTGTCAGTCTCTTTTTTTTTGCATTCGGCAGTGATTTGTTTTGACTCGCTGATCTTTTAGTTACCTTTCCCAGTGATGTGGCAAAAATAAACCTCACCTCTTCCTGCACCTGTGTGAGTGGGGCCAGGTTTTGGCGTTGGCCCTCGGTAGGCTTATAGAATTCCATATTTCATGTGATCTAATACTGTAGATGGTACCATCTCGACAAAGCATCAGAAAGCCACAGGAACTTACCCAGAAATTGGAGTTTCCTTACATCAACACATTTTTTTTTTTCTTCTCTGAATGTTTTAGTAATAAATAATGTTTTTTTATGTAAGGAAAAACTATTGTAATTAGTCTTCAATAATAAATGGATAAAAGTGGGTACAGTACTTTTAATATTAAAAATTGCAAACCAATTTACTATAAAACTAGTATCTCTCAGCATGAGACTTAATCCAGTATTATGTGAGCTGTGCTTAACCTTAAACTGCGCAAGGCATATATATACAACAGGGCATATCACTCAGTTTTTAAAATTTGCTGAAATGCTTTCAAATGTTTTGTGTATAATCTACTAGGCAAATACTCCAACTATTTGCAAAAACATTAAATATCACCAGTTATTCATTTGGTGTTATTATGCTCTCAGAATAGCATATGATCTTCAATTTCATAAGTTGAGAATATAGGTTTTTAGTATAGTTTACTGCAAAAAAAATATCAATATGGCATTTCAGATATGCACCAAATTTAGGAAAAAAAATTAACTCCAAATGTTTAGGGTTTATGAAACATCTATTTGATTCTAAGAACAGAGAGCTGTGTACACTATATGTAAAAATGGTGAGAATTGCTCAGAAACTGGATTTTTTAATACGGTTGTAAGTCGAAACTCTAATTTAAAGATAATCGAATTTAAAGTTATTGACAACGAATAAGTTAGTTCTAATTCATTAATTTACTTGTATGTTTTAATATACATT